AGAGTTCCCTGCTAAGCCGTTCTGGAATGCCAGGGCACCAGCTGCATTCATGTCCTCCTTCTCCATCCTCAGCCCTGAGCAGAAGGATCAGAAGGGATGTGAGAGCTGCAGGGATCAATTCCACACTACAAAGGTGTACCCAGGAGCGCTTTTGTCCCCACCAGGGCACCCTCAGTTACAGTGGGCACCAGAGGCAGGCTGTCACCCGACAGAGCCAGGCTCTGCTCTCCACAGGATCCTCGGAGGAGCCCAGCTGCAGCCAGCTGTGAACACTCAGCTCCATTCCCTCTGAAACCCAGTGTGCCCCATGCAGCCAATGTCCCCAGCTCGTCACCATGAGCTGGGTGTTAGAGCAAACCCGGCCCCACACTCAGCTAGGAGCAGAGGTGCCTCAGGCAGAGACAGCACCCCTGACCCTGGCAGGCAGCAGCCCCAGGCCACAGCAGAGCTGCCAGGGGCTCTCCCCACGACCAGCAGCAGCAAACCCTGGCACAGGATCAGCCCAATGCCCTTGTTAGCTTGTAAAGACAAAACTTGCTATGGCTGCATTAAAAACATCAGATACTAACGACAGCCCTCCCATGGAACTTGGGTGGGGTACTTGCAGCTGTGCAATAGTAAATGGTCATTTACATTTGGTTTCTTATTATTTTAACAGGGGGACTTCCCGATATGCAGGGGAAGTCCCTTGCATATTACACAATCACAGATATTAAAAATAATCCATCCAGGGCTGTTTGGATTCTGCTCTGTTAGTCACCAGATAACTGCTGCTTATGCAGAGCTCCATAATTTGTCATAACAGCTAATTTCATAATTACAATTGTTTGTACTAAATTTAAGACTGCATTACAGACCGTACATTTCTGGAAAACACTTAATTCACATGTTTCTTCCTGTTTCCTCATTCTTCATCTTGTGATGTGAGAAATGAGAGGTTTTTGATGCGCTGTCCGTGAAGGATTAGTTCACAGTGCAACACCACCTCTAACTCTGTGTGATACATTACTGAGTGTTCCATCAAATACCTCATAGCTAGTATGTGTCACGCAGCAAGATTTTAGAAGAAAATTCTCAAAAGAGGAACATCCCATGTGAACAAGCCAAGTTCTGTTTGTTTTGCACAGTCTGGGTTTTGGTAGCAGGGGGGCTACAGAGGTGCCTCCTGTGAGAAGCTGCTTAAAGCTGCCAGATGTCCAGGAGAGCCAATCCCTGATGGCTCTGAAGATGGACATGCTGCTGGCCAAAGCTGGGACAACTAGAGACGGTGGTAACACCTCTGTGATAACATATTTAAGAAGAAAATCAAAACACAGTGGGGCATGCACAGTGTTTCCCAGACAGAGAAGGGAGGAGGTGAGAACATGTGAGGGAAACAACCTGGACACACCAGGGTCAGTGGGGAAGGAGGGGCAGGAGGTGCCCCAGGTGCAGGAGCTGAGATTCCTCTGCAGCCATGGTGAAGCAGCTGGGCCCCTGCAGCCCACAGGGATCCATGGGGGATGCAGATTCACCCACAGCCCCTGGGAATCCACGGGGGATGCAGAGATCCACTCGCTCTGTGGGGACGTGCCCAGGCAGGAGCAGTAGATGCCTGGAGGAAGCTGTGATCCAGTGGAAGATTCCTGGAGGAGGCTGTGATCCAGTGGAAGATTCCTGGAGGAGGCTGTGTTCAGTGGAAGATTCCTGGAGGAGGCTGTGTTCAGTGGAAGACCCAGTGGAAAGAGGGGGTCCCTGCTTCCAGGCTGGAGCAGCCTGTCCTTGGAGGATTGCACCCTGTGGAAAGAGACCCACGTCGCAGCAGCTTTGGGAGGGCTGGGTGCCCATGGGAGGGACTCCCATTGCAGCAGGTGTGGTAGGACTGCTGCTCGGGAGATGGGAACCACATTGGAGAAGTTAAAGGAGAAATGTCTCTGCCATGGGAGGGACTCCATGGTGTCACAGGGGAAGATCTTAGGTGATGAACTCACCCAAACCCCCTGTTCTGTCTCCCTGAGCTGTTGGTGGGAAGGACAGAGGGGTTGGGGGACAAAAAGGTGTTTTTAGGACTTATTCTACTTCTCATTATCCTCCTCTAATTTAGCTAGTAAAAAAAAAACACTGTATCTCTAAGCCAAGCCTGGTTTGCCTTTGGAGTGCTCTCTTCTAGGCCTTTTCTCAACTCATGAAGCCTTCATGAAATGTTCCCCTCTCCTCTGCCCAGCTGTGGCAGGAGAGGAGAAGTGAGAGACTTTTTTGGGTGCCTGGCATCCAGCCAGTGTCAAACCACAAAGTTTGTTGAGTTCATGAACTGATTCATGTTTTAGGAAACAAGGGTGGGATCTGAACACAGGATCCCATTTTGAGAGAGATGGAGAAGATCCACGTCCTCCAGACCAAGCTGGCAGCAGTGCTCTCAGCAAGGCCCCTCTGCTCTGGAGTGGGAACAGCACACACAGGACTTCAGGGAATGGCTTTCAGTCAAGGCTGTTGGAGGTTAAGAGTTTCTTAGGCGAATGGACTATCCTCTTTTTTGGCACTGCTCCACCCAAAACTAGTACCAAAACCTCTCAGGATATAAGAGCAGACAGATGGAATAGATGCCACCCTAATCTTCACTCAAAATTAAATTTTTGATTTTTGGTAGTTTAAATTTCAGTTTAATTCATTCCAGAGCCAAGGAAAGCCTTATGTCACTGATAGCACAGAGCTGTTACACAATTACAGAAATGAGAGCCTGCCCCCCTCTTCCTTGGCTGTGAGCCTCTGACAGGACAGACATGAAAAGAAACAAGAAGAGATTCAAATTTTCTATGTAGAAAAATTCAACTCCCAAGAGAAAAAGACTGGCCAGCAACTGCATCACAGAGGTACTGGCTGTCAGGTGGTGGGTATGCTGTGAGAAAAGCCAGGGTGCCATATCTGAGGAATGCCCAGTCCCACCATGGACACCCTGAATGCTACCTCACTTGGATAGAAAATTCTCATTTAAGAGACAGGAGACAGTCCACTGCACAAGACCGGTTTTCAGTAAAACATGGGAATAAATACTTGTCTGCTTCTTCATCACCACAAACCTTCCCTGTTGGGACAAAAACTAGTCAGAACTCTTGTAAGTTACTGGAATTTAATTTATTCATTCATTTATTAATTTATTTATTAGTACAGCCAAGTCTTTTTAGGGCCTATCTCATGTACTACTAGTTTGAAAATGAGTGAGATTTTCATACATGGTCAACATCTTAAAGTCTGCTGTTAGGACTATAGGTAATTTCTTAATATTGAATTGATATTTGGAAGGTAAAAATATTGGTGTAATTATTTTGTCAGACTAATTTCTCTCAACTGGATATAACCCAACATGTCTGAAACCAAAAAGAGCCTTCAGCAATGAGTGCCAGCCCATCAGCATTACTGCCCACCCAGCAGCAGGCCATTCACAATGTCCACCATGTAAAGACTCCAGTCCTTTCAGCAAAACCACTACAACCATTTCCACTTTATTTTTCTTTCAGCTCCTGCATACAAAGTTTCAGCAGAGCCACTCTGCTGTTACACACTTCACAAGGCAATAGCCTGGAATTATTTCTTTTCCCAGGCCCTTTGCTGTGATGCTGCCCTCATTTTGGGTGAGCACTAACAACTCCAGCAGCAATAGACAGCTGGGCAGGCAGCAGTGCTCCAAGTGCCTCCTAAAGAGGACTGTGACCAAAGAAGGGATGAACCCTCCTCCTTTTTCAGAAGGGAAAGTCAAGCCAGCTGAACCCTGGGGAAAGCTGCATTATGTCATTTCCTCATTCTAAACATTCAGAAGCAAATGTAAAACCTGGTCCCAAACTACTGCTGGAGGAGCTCAGGATGTCTGTTCAAGTGAGCAGCAGGTAAATGTGGTTATAAGGTGGGCAGTGCCCACATGGCTGGGTTAACAGGTAAGGTATGGCAGGTATGGGGATGGCTGTCTGCTGAGGCAGGAAGACAGCATGGCACCAGTCACCACCAGCTCCTACCTGGAGAGAAGGAAGGTAGGACCATGATGAGCTTTTTCAAAATGTCTCAGCATGGAGATAACCCTGCCCCTGCTGACATCAGCAGCACAAGGTCCCAGTGCTCAAGTGGGAGCACTTGGATCTGCATGCTGTGAAACACAAGCAGATGTCCTGTGAGGTCTCCCTCACCTCCAGAATGACAGAAATGTGCTGCACTGAATTTACCTGCTGAATCTCAGGTTGCTCCCACAGAACTGACACTGCACTCAACTGAATTTAAGGCTTCAAAAATTTTTCTTGAAGATCCAATCACCTCACCCACCCAGAGCTAGATTTCAGTCTCAACAGCATGACCGGAACTTACTTCTTTGCTGGCAGGACATAGCCATGCTGCATCATGTTCTACCTGCCTACAGAATTACTGCCAGGACTTGATTTGTTGTAGAAGACATAACTGCATGGACAGTTTTGAAAAACATCAGAAAGGTCTTTTATTTCTTCATCAGGGAACATAATTTACCATTTTTGCATAATGCAATCATCTCACATTTATGGCAGTAAATGAGAAACCTTTGCAAATAACCTGCATTTTTAGAGATTATCATATAGCCAGAACTGTACATCTCTGGTTCGTGAAATTTGAAAAAAAAATTATGTACAGGGTTTTACATGTTATGGTGCATAACCAAGACCACAGGGGGCTTCATTTAATTGTTGTACTCACAGAATATTCTGAGTTTTTGACAAAATAGAACTTAGAGCTGGTTGTAGCATGTTTCCATCACTAGTTCTAGATGAACAGAAGAGCATCCCCCACAGCCTTCAGCAGAAAAGTACTCACACAATTATTGCCTATGGTAGGACTGCAAGACCAAACCCATCATATGTAAACTGTGTGATACTCTGATACAACATGTACTTACTACTTTGAATTAACAGAACAAACTATGATGGGGTTTCATTTCAATTGGTTCCTAACCCACACACTGGAATATTGACCATTTCACAATCAATCTCATTAATGCACACTAACCATCAAGTGGATAATTTTATCTTTTATTTAGGAAAAACATATGAATTGTGATAGATATAATAGGCAAAATTAGCTCAAATTAGCTCAAATATACAGATATTATTATCCAATAAAACATTTAAAATAATAGCTGAAAATTAATGTAGAGGGTTTTTTTCTCCAAAGTAAACAAACTGAACTCTTCACAGGAATTTTTCATTACAAAAGCTAGGATGCATTCAGGTACAGTGAAATTCACCTTTACTGGAAAATGTAGACAGCCTGAGCTATGTCCCTGTTGATTTTAATCCCTGCCATCTCCCCAGCACTGCTGAATCAAATTTAATCCTTAAAATATATTCCAAAGTAAACTCAAGACATTCCAAATCTACAGTCATTATTAGATCAATTCACAGAACTGCTGAAAAAGTAGACATTTCTATATAATAGTACAAAAGGATTTGTATAGAAGATACTTCTCTTATACAGTTATATTACACAGCTCTAGACAGGCTGAGCAGGCTCTTCTCAAAACGGGAAGCTTCTGACTAGGTAAGAGAAATTAAAAAATTAAGTTAGTTTCATTGAAGCCTTGTGCCTTATTACAACTATGAGCAGTTTGTATTCCATTTTCCAGTTCTTTAGGCCTAAATTCAGCAAGCATGCAGAAGCTGAATATTACTCTCAATAAATATGAGATCAAATGTGTGCTCTAGTGGTCTCTTGTCAGACTTTAGAACAAATATTTATTTTAGTGTAAATTCAGTGGATGGCCCAAAGCATCCAAAACTCTGAACTACTGCAGCATCAAATTGTGCAGCCATTGCTCAGACAACTTTTTTGTGACCTTTAATTGACAAGTGAGGTAGTTTTCTGTATCTCACTGGCTGCAGTGCATCCCATGACATTTGGGTACTGTAAATTAGGTTTCTCATAAAAGTTTAATTTATGCAAAGAAAAGAAAGAAAACTTTTAAAGAAGGTTGGTTTGTCATCACACTTAATAGCTTTACTGAGTGTCCCAAGGTCAGACAATACTACAATCATAATGAAGAGCTTTCCTGCTCAATTACAATTTGGAAATGCATGTGCATTACCAAGAATAATAATGTTTTTTCACACAACCATGTCAGAGCTTTTAATAAACACTAATTCTCTCAGCTTTCAGTTACTCTTCTTCTGAGATATGTGATTACCATCACACATTTTAGGCCACATTCTTCTAGGACTTCCTCACAGATTTGAACACAGTGTGCTTTATATTGTATTTGGGTAAGAAAGTGCAAAATATCTGACATCTTATATGTGAGAACTGAGATACATAAAATAATTCACAATTAAGTACTGGCACCTTCTGACATTCAGTAGTATACTTCATCTCTCATTTCCCCAGCCAAAAAATATAAAAATATTATTCCTTGACAGGTGTTGACTTCAAGAAACACTAAATTCTTTTACCCAGTGTTGATGAGGTCTATGACGTCAGGTCTGGATCTTTCTTTATTTGAAACTTTTCTTCTGTTTCTGTATTATCTGTTAAAAAAAGTAGTCGTGCATGAAAAAAGTGGAATTTCCCCACCAATTTTATTACTGTTTTACTTAAATAAAATTTTATAAAAACATAAAAAGTATTTATTATCTTTTAAAACTAATAATCATTAATGAAAGTGTATTCACAGCAATCTGGTTGTGTGGAAATTACCATTTCCACTGCAAAGTAAAGCAGCTTAGGATCTTAGAGCACTTTAGTTCTTCATGAATGGAAATACAATTGGCATTAGTAGGACTGCTTCTCTCTCAACTAGATGCAGATTTCTGCATTATTCTATTTCAGTCTGTCCAAAACAAATTTTAACCCTACCTGATTTTTAAAATACAGTATCACACAGGAAGGCCTTATGATATGTTTAAAAAAAATCATGTTGGCTAAAGTATTCATCACCTTTTGATACAGTTTTATTCAGTGCAGGGATGCTTGGAGGTAAATCAAAGGAATCTCGTGTCTGTGTGGCACTGTCCATATGACATAGAGCCTGATTCTGTTCTTTTTACAGACAATATAACGTTGGAAGGAAATTGTTTTTTCTCTGGAGTTGTTTGGAAGGTTTGGGGTGAGAGTAATTCATCGCTACAAAACCAAGCTCTTTCACCACATGATCATTTTATACCTTCCAGTGTAGTTCTGAAGTGATTTTTGCCACTGCACGCCTTTTTACAGAAACACTTCAGTAATTACAGTGTCTGAAGCCACTTTTGGATGACAAATTCATAACTATGCTTTTCTATCTCACCCAAACCATTACACTGAAGGCCCCCAGATGATTTTCTTCCACGTGACAGTATTCAGGAACAACTGTAGTTCTTCCTGCACCATCTAGCTTCAGCAATCCCCCAGAATAAAGTTTTGGCATGATAAAGATACCCGATGTTCCAGCCTTCAAAACTGTGAGCATAAAATCTGCAGCTCAGCTCTGCTGTGACTCTTTTAACATTTGCCTTCTTTCTGTCTTGATTGCTACAACAGGGTCAGTCCAAGAAAGACTGACTTAAAACCCTTGGAGTGAACCTGTAACTCAGCTTGTAGCACTCACTCTGGCTGAGAATGTTCTCTTGGCTTAGAGTTCAATGACATGACAGGGGGAGTGAAGCAATGGAGACTGGAAAGGGAATTTCCATTGAAAAGGCTACAGAAGAACAGGAGCTCTTTTGGAGCAGTGTGAGCAGGATTAGGGAATGAACCAAAGTTGAGAGTCTCAGGATGAGAAGTGCTGATGCACAGCAGCTGCCATCCCAGGGCTCTTGGCTATGTTGCCATCAAGCTGGCACAGACACATCAGCAAACCCTTCTTGGGACCATCTGATACAAAGGCAGCACCCCAGCAAAGTACCAGAGCCCCCTGGATCACCTTGGAACCACAGCAGGGACAGCTGTGGCCATCCAGGGCCAGGCTGGGTGCAGCAAGGGCAGCATTTACAGGAGCAGAGCACACAGAGACAACAACATCCCAACTCTCAGGTCAATCCAGCATTTCTAATTCACCAAGGCCACATGCAAGAACACATGGGGGATACAAAACCTACAGCTTCCTTGATCTTACATGCATCTATATACAGAAAACACTTCAACAAAAGGGGTGTCAGGCCCTGGCAGAGGCTGCCCAGGGCAGTGGTGGAGTCTCCATGCTTGGAGACATTTAAAAACTGGGTAGATGTAGCTCTTGGAGAGATGGTTTAGTGGTGAGCTTGGCAGTACTGTGGCATCATTCTGACTTGATGCTTTCTGAAGGTTTTTCTAAACTAAATGATTCTACAATTCTATCTGAAAAGGATACAATTCAAGTGTATTCTTGGACAACAGGAAAGTTGGATGTTTTCTAGAATTTAAGTACTAGAACAACAATACTCCAGTCCCTTGCCCCCAGTGTAGTGTATCCAAGCCAATATGGCATTCAGAGTTCCTGATGATGGCAATCACTCACTTGCATCAATTGAAACTACTGCACTGAACAACTAGATGCATCATTCAGGATATGAAGTCACTCAGAGCCTATATACAGGCATGACTCAACAACCATTAAGAATTCATAGAAGTCCTTTGTAAAATTATTTGAATAGTAAATTTTGCTGCTAAGTATTTTTCACATGATGCAGCATCTTATTACTATAAATGAAGAAATGTGCCAGGAACCAGTAAAATACCTTTTCTTGGTTTTGACTGACCTGACTTTAAAAACAGATGCAACTTTGTTCAGCATTACTTAAAAATATTTGGTTTTAACTGGAGACACTTACCTTCTATAGATACTTCTATTTGGCTTGGTTCATCTGGCTCTTAAATGAAAAAAATACAGTCAAATGAATATGAATATAGTTTCAACAAGATTAATCAGATTAGGGCAATTAGGTTTTCCTGAAAAAAGCACCTAATTTTTCTTAACCAATCTGACTCATATCTCTTTGACTGAGATAGATTTGTGTAGCTATCTATAGACTGCAACAAAATATAAAATATCCCCAAACATTTATTACAATCAACTATGTAACTCTTTATCTTCTAAGAATGGTTCACTGTGGCAGACATATCACCAAAACCCAGAACAACACAATGTGCATTTGCACAGAATACCAAATTTAGAACAGCTTAAAGAGAGTCACCACTTCTCCTAAGCTTTGTCTTTGATGGCAGGTATGTGTACTTTGGGGCAGAGTGGGAAGGTGCATAACAGAGGACAAGAAGTATGCTTTAATTCCATGCCGAGTTTTCTACTATCTCTGCATGGATTGTAGATGAACATGTTCTGGGAAAACCATTTAACCTTTTTAACGCTGCAGATGTTAAGGACCAACAGACTACAGCCAGCTCACAAACCACCAGCAACTGATCTGCTCCCTCCCACACCTCCACATGGAAACAGAGGAACCAGCAGTTTCCTTTACAATAATTTTCATCCTACAAGTGTCCCTTACTCTTAAAATGTTTATCAGATGTTTTCTCTTAATTTCCCAGCTTCCTTGTATAATGATTTATTCAGTCAACTGCAGAAGTTTTCCCCGCACTACACCAACTTAGGATACACATTTTTAAAAGGCATATATGAACATTTAGAAGCTGAACTGGATGAAAGCAAAGTTGCCCAACCACATTTACTTTAGTTAATTCCCAGCCCAAAGCTAAGTTCTCTGTTCAGACTATAAGACAGGTGATGTGTGTGCAGTCCCAGCTGCAGTCTAGCAGGGGTTACAGAGCTTGGCAGCAGGCAGAAACTCCATCCAGACCCCACTGCCAGCTATGCAGGCAAACTTCACTTGGCTGTACATGCAGACATGCACACATTTGAACTAAGCAGACATTAATAAATGGATGCTGAATTGCCTTTACACATTGCCCCCACTAATCCTTCTTTCCAGTCACTCATCAGCTGTAAAAATCAAATCAAGGAACACAACAATGACACATCTTGAAGAAAGTAGAGGCACTTTCCACTAATGTTTAACAGCTATTGAAGTTATTTAAAGTTTAACAGTTATTAAAGTTAACAGCTATTCATTTCTCAAAATGAAATGGCTCATCATGAGCACCTCAGACCTAGGACATGACTGCTAATGATATCTGCCAATGAGATGCAGAACTCCATACCCCACCCCTCCTGCAAGGACACGTGTCACACTCTGCATCACCTGGTAGTGCTGCTGTGGTAGTGGCTGCTGCTGCTGCTGGTGATTCTGCTTCTGCTTCAGCTTCTTCTAGCAGCTCTAAGATGAGGCATAATCATTGTTTTACTTCACAATGAAAGTGGTTCACATAAACAGGTTACTAACATGAAACGTCACATGAAACTCCTCACATGAACAGGTTACTAACACTGTGACTGAGATGCAGTTCAATTTTTTTCCTGTTACAAGAAAAACATTGCCTGTCTTGCCTGCAAGCACCAAAAATTTCCTCTTAAGTTTCCACAAGTTCTTTAGATGAGAATAAAACATCATGCTTATAATGAGGCTCAGAGCCTGTCACTTGTTCACCTTGGTATCCATCAGTATAAGATCATTTTGATCACAATTAGTGGATTGATTTTGATCATCATCAGTAGAAGATCATTTTGATCATAATTAGTGTCATATTATTGGCAGATAATGCCCAAACCTCATGTGCCCCATGACCAGTCTGCTCCCCCAGTCCCAACACACATTGTTGACAACTTATGCTGAGCTGACAACAGCTCAGTGGATTCTTTAATTTCTATCTGAATTCCGTGGAAATACCATTACACATTTACTTGCCTGAAGGCTCCCCCTTGCAGAGAGACCTCTCTGCCACCTCAGAAGTGCTCCTAGGTCTGTGAGCAGGTCAGTGGGCTGCAATATCCTCTTGAGGACATACAATATCCTCTTGAGAACATCTCACACTTGCAGTGCATGAACAATATTCCAGTATTGTTACTGGAACACACTGGTGGCTGAGTGTATTTGAACAAACACTGGGTTGCTAAGGCTCCAGCTGGGTGAGGCCAGTTGTGACAGCTTATTTGGCCTCTGAATTTCTTATCGGACATTGGCTCACAAAGAACACAACACAAGGGACACTGTAGTGACAGTCTTTGTGGTTTGTTTTTTCTCCTAAATTACATCTAACAACCAGGTCACAATTATTTTAGCAACCAAAATATTATACCTTTCCCTCTCACTACCCCAAGCAATTTCATTGTGAGGGCCAAATTGGCCATGGCACTTCAGCTAACTACAGCCTGACTCTCTAAAAAGTTACAGTTTCAGCAGAATGCAGAATTTTTCACTGGAACAAGGCTGTGCAGCTATTGGAAAACTCTTGCTTACCAACTGCCACTGTGATGGATTTAAACCTACAACATAGGACCTCTCATCTAAGTGTGTTGCTCCATCAGGATCCTAAATTTCTCTTGGACTCTGCAGCTGAAAAATCAGAGTCTTGCATTTTTGTATCAAGTCAATGCTAATCTTATGCGATTTAAATGCAAATTTATTCCCTGCCCTCAAGCTAACTGTACATATGTGTTTAGTCAGGAAATCTTAATGAGAAATACACAGGCAAGAGTTATACAGAGACCTTAACAACTTGGGGCCTCTGCCACTAAGACACGATGTAGAAAATAAATCTTAGTAGGTTACAAAAATACATTTGTCATCAGTGTCTCATAAATACTTACGATTGTTAATCACAAGTCCTGGAAATGGTCTGGGAAAAAAAAAAAAAAAATTACTGGTTCTAAAATGCACTGCATGCCATTTCCTCCCAATGTAACCTCCCCAGACCTTCTATAACAGAGGTCATGCTAAAAATTAAAAGAAAGGCAAGTAAAACAGAAGAAATAGTAGCTCTTAGGGACTTTGGTTCTTCCAAACTTGCATTTTGAAAAGTAACATGTATGGGAAGAGCTAAACCCTTCCCTTGGTCACTGCTACTTAGCAAGGGCTCACCTCTTCTTCAGGGTTCAATTCAAAAACACATCAAAGTCTTTCTGGTTAGAATATGTCATGATTAAGGGTTGAGAATTCAGACTCCTTAGTAAAATCTATGAAATTTCTCTCTAAAGATAAACTGAAGCTTTTAAACTCCTTTGAATTCATCTGTGATTTGAGAAGTTACAGAAATCGATCAATTTTATACTTTCAACTCCTCCTGAGAATGATTGCAAAGTTTGATCTGTTCTGCTTCAATGCATACCAATTAACATTGGCATGTGTGTGTCTGTGTATGTCTATGGAGATACACACATACAAATGAAATTCCCTTATACTATAATTGGACAATATTGTATTTTAAAATATTGAAACAAAACCAATGAGCTTTTGTTTCAAAACTTGGTATTATGACTGGGAGAGCAAGGCCCAGAAAACGATAGCACTTTTTTAAATATTACAATTAGATTTAAACTCAAAAGACAGCTTGCTGTAATATGCAGTATTAGTAATATGCCTTTTGTCACACTAAATTGGACATGTCCTCCTTCATTCATGCTAGGAACATCTGGGCTTCCTTTAACCTGACATATTGTAATCCAAAAAGAGACAACATCTTTTTAAAGATGTACTACTACAACTTCTATTCTCTCACATTTATTCCAGCTACGGGGCTGTAATCATGATCTAATTAATGGCAACTACATACCTAATGACAGTAAACTTGATAAACTCTGCTGATTCCAAAATCTTCCTCATTGAGTTGAGTTCCAGATAACTGGGTGCTTTAAATGCCACACCTGGAGGCATTCCATCCACCAACACACAGCCAGGGTTGTTAGTGATTTTTCTGTATGGAACTTTCACAGGAAAATTCATACCAGTGGCTTCACCTAAGTGGGAGAGGTTGTATTTATTTTCAAACCTACAGTATTTAGGATTACAGTGAAGAAAAAGTCCTCAGATAATTAAGAAACAAAATGCTTTCTATCAGATCTGAAACTATGAAAATTCACTTGACAATAAAATTATTACAGTGTTAGAAATGAGGTTCTGGATTACACTCATGAACATTACTATGAGAGCATTAGTCACAGTTTAAACTCAGACAGTTCAGCATATGAATAACACAGGTTCTGCTCATAGAGAACAGGATATAACAGGAGATAGCTACACAAAGGAAATTCAAAGCATTTCCTGCAATGCTATGAAAAGCAATTCAACACAGCACAAGTGAAGGAATTTCAGATAAGGAAACCCAGGTAAATGCTACTGCACAATGCAAAGTAAAAAGCCCAAAAGTATACACAGCAGAAGGGTTAAATTGAATTTTTAAAGTTACTCTAATCCCAAGTATTAAGAGGTCAGGATTATGAAGCCCTGAGAAGAACCATGGACTTCCAACAAAATAAATACTTCATCTGTGTTGACACAGAAAAAAGGAAAAGGGAAGGGGAACTCTGAAGCAGCAATCTAGACTCTTAGGACTTTGTTTAATACACCAAACTGTCTACATCACTTACAAAAGATTCTTTTTGGAGTCAAAGCACAACATTCACATGCAATTCTCAAATTTGTTCATTTTAACGACCATATATATAATTCACTGTGAGTGAATATTCATTCAGTAACTGCAGTATGAACAACATTAATTGCACTCACACCTATACAAAAATGGGAAGTAAGAGGCAATTACCAAATTTCTGGCTAAAAAGCTCATTTACTTGCTCTCTCAATTGTCTGGCACTTTCTGCTTTTGGCAGTGGCTCACTTTCATCATCTGGAAGAAATTGTTAGAATAGCATGAGAACTAAGCACAAATTTCCCCTCTTGAAGCTTGTTTATCCCTGCATGTTTACTCAAAGCAGGTATACCCAAAAGCTTCTAAACAGGCACTGTCAATTCCTCATTTTAGTAGTAACACCAAATTGTAGAAATACATACAAATAGATGGTTGCTAAGAAATTACAGAATCCTAGAATGGTTGATTTGGAAGAGACCTTGAAGATCATCTAGTTCCAAACCCCTGCCACGGGCAGGGACACATTCTACTAGACCAAGTTGCTCCAAGCCCCACTTAACCTGGCCCTGAACGCTTCCAGGAATGAATCTAGAAATGTCTAGAGATGATTTTGTAAAGTAATTTAAACCAAAAAATTGTATTTTACTTTCTTATGGAACATAGAAAGGTATGTAAAGGTAAAAGCAAAGTGATCATTCAGTAGATTGCCATAGCATGCAACAAAAAAAGCAGTAATTGGTATTAAGACAAAGCAGTTCAGCCTGCATGGTCATTCAATTCAGTTCAACTGCCGACATCTGGAAGTTGCCAAGAACGGCAAATCAATACTTAAATTATTGCATCATAAAAATGTGGATGCTTCTTCAGGTGGTTGGACTAAGAAAATTCTAGAGATGTCACTGATGAGTGTTAGATAATATTTAACATCTCAGCAAAACCAAAACGTATCTTATGTTCTTTCTTGACTGTACTTCAGCAAACCAGCCTGACTGTAGGAAAACATCAAACTAAGCAGATACCACGAGGAATATAAGCACAAGTATTATGATACCAAACCAGCCAGTATACACACCTTTTATGGTTACTTTAACAATGTTTAGGTCTCCAACACTTGTAGCTGTTTTCACTGAGTTTTTTGTGGTCCTTGCTACATTGGCTTTACTGGGGGAATTATTTTTTCCTAGGAGGATTAATTTAGAAAACATTTATAGAGAGCTCAAAATCTTCAGTCTCATCTATAAAGAAAATATTGCAAAACAACAAATATTGGCAAAGTTTTCAAAGAGGACCTAGTTTCAGCTTCAAAATGGGAGCATCTCTTCCATGACCTACCTACCTGACACAATTTTCTACTGGCTATCCTGTCTCTGGTGCATGTGTCATTTAGATGATCTACATACTAGGAGTAAATAATTTATCTCTAGACCTGAATAAATCATGTGAATCCTACATTACTGGCTACATTTTGATAGCATGTAGTAAAGAATACATTAGAGGCACAATTATTTGTGAATAACTTAAAAAAATTAATACTCCCTTTTTAGAGCTATATTTAATCTGTAACTAGTAAGTGCTTACCCCATCTTAAAAACAAACAAGCCAACAAACAAAGCAACTGCAATTTAATAGATCTTTCAGGAATAAACAGAATAAATCTTCCAGGAATTTATTAACACCATGCTGCTCTTATAATTAATATTCAACCCTTGAAATAAACTGTTATCTGGAAAGCTAAGCAGTTATAAAACTCACCTTGGGGGCTTTTATCAGAACTTTCTTTGATAACTGCCTCAAGCATCTCAGGCCTGCAAACAGATTGAACATTTTACATACAATAATAAAATTGTAGCATCAACATTAAAGAAAATCCCATTTTCTAAAAATGGTAACTAAGTGATACTCTCTCAGCCAAAGAGACAGTCAAGAAAGCAATCACTGAGAGGCTCCATAACTTCCCAGAATCGCAGAAATCTTAGATTGGTTTGGGTTGGAAGGAACCTAAAACCCATCCAGTTTCTTGCTCCTGCCGTGGGCAGGGACACCTTCTACTACATCAGGCTGCTCAAAACCCCATCTAACCTGGCCTTGGACACTTCCAGGGATGGGGCAGCCACAGCTGCTCTGGGCCTCACCACCCTCCCAGTGAAATTCCTTCCAAACATCTAATTTTACCATGCTCTCTGTCAGTTTAAAGCCATTCACCCTTGTTCTATCACTACCTGTCCTTGTAACTTCTCTTGCCACTGTTTCTGCACTGGCACAGGAATATCTAAGCCTGTTCTAGGCGAAAGAAAGAAAATTCTTACAGCTCTCATTAAAATAATCTCCACTCCTCAGCTCTCAATACACAAACCAGCAAGCTTTATGAGCAGCCCATAAGTGCTCCCTGCAGTAGGAACTAAACCAGTGATGTGATAATTGTGATGGATTAAGAAATATGGACTTGTTTTTCCTCTCAAAACAAAGTCTAAGAGTCTCTCAGAACAAAGATATTATTGTATCTTGTTCCACTGGCACAAGAGCTTTCCAACCATTTCCTCAAGTACTAAAAATACAACAGTGTGTATTTTATAGAGTAATTTAGCAACTTGGCAACACAATTTCATTTTTGGGTCTACATTTCAATTCTCATTAGAACAGATTATTAAAGACATATGGGAGCCTTACTTTTTAATAATAAATTTTATTTTGGGTTTACTTCTCAGGATCTTCTCTAGTCTTGGAATCCCAAAAGTTGTAGGCTGGCGGAAGGGCACCCCCTCAGGAAGCCCTTCCACGTAGAAATCCTCTGGGTAGGAATCAAACAGTGCATATGGCACCTTCACTGGCCCTCCGTGTCCCAGTGCCTCCCCTGAAATGCAACACAGCAAATAAGGTACCAGTTAGGCAACTGAAGTGTACAGAAATAGAATATTCCTGGCAAAAATGCAATAGATTAGTTGGCACATATATACTTGATTAGGTAGAACCAGCAGGCTTTGCTTTTTATGGTGACAGCTATGAGACTGCAGAAGAAAATTAACAGTTTCAAACTTAACTCATTCTGTTGCAGTAAATCTCACTGTAATTTGCTGAAAATTAGTAATTTCCATCCAGCTCATGCCACTGGCTTGGTTTGCATGCATGACTATCCTATATGTATGCCACTTTTGTCTTAGGTTGGAAATGCAGGATGTGGCTGGGTGTGTTTTCTATTGCCATCTGTCAGAGCTGGGGCAGTTCTCTACTGCTCATGGGGCAGTTTTCTTTATCTCTCCCACAGCCAATCCTCCCTCCAGGAGATGTCTACTGTTCATGGGCTATTAATTATTAATTATCTTCTGTTCATGGCCACTGAGTGTCCCTGCATGGCTGAGAAAATTCCATCATCCATGGGGAGATGCTCTGCCCAGGGGAGGAGCCCAGCATTCCTACCTGGATCCAATCTGACCTGGGAACAGCACAGCAGCCTTTGCCCCCTGCATTCCCAGAGGAGCAGCTTCCTTCCCCCTGCATTCCCAGAGGAGCAGCTTTCTTCCCCCTGCATTCCCAGAGGAGCAGCTTTCTTCCCCCTGCATTCCCAGAGGAGCCCAGGCCCATCTCCCCCAGCCCTGGAGCTCCAGAGGAAAACTCCCCCCTTGTGCAGGATCCTGCTCCAGCAGAAGCACAGCTGGCACTGCAGGAGGGCTGAGCCACCCTGGGATGGGGCTGAGCCACCTCCCTGACACACAGGGGGACAGGGCATGTTCTGACTCTGGAAGTGTTGTTTTGTATTACTGCATTTTTATTTTTCCTAATAAAGAACTGTTATTCCTAATCCCATATTTTTGCCTGAGAGAACTTTAATTTCAATATTATAGTAATTCAGAGGGAGGGGATTTATGTTTTCCATTTCAAGGGAGGCTCCTGCCTTCCTTAGAAGGCACCTGTCTTTTCAGGACACACTGCTGCAGGCAATGCATTCTGCCTCTTTCTCTTCTGGAGAACAGCAGCACCAAGGACAGGTGAGAGAAGTGCTCTTGTTCAAAAACCCACACTCAAAAGTATAAGGAGAAGCCATTACTTCCAAAAGTCACTAGTTTTCAAACAGCCTGCACTAGAAGAAGTGCTGGAATATAATGGAGCACATTTCTCTAGATACCACCCAACCTGTTTTGAATCATGCAGAGTCATACAAAGTCCCATTTATAAGCAGAGTAATGAAAGCTCAAAATGATGTGCCAGTATGTGAAATCATTCTGTCTGTGGATCACTAAAAAAAATTGTAATCCTACTACAACTTCTCCATTTTCAAACCCAAGTAAAATAAGAAATAGAAATGTGACACTGGATTGCAAGCACATGGGAATGAACTCAGATGGGAAACTGTAAGGTACACGAGGATTGCAGGACCTCTGGAATAAACATATGAACACCTCTCATACATCCACCTAACTGCATGTTCATAAGAAAGGCATTTCAGTAAGAAAGAATCAATAAACATACCACACTTTTCATTGAAAAGATTTTCAACTTTCTGCTTTAAGTCCGTGATTCTGGCATTCCACAAGTCTGCCAGGAAGAAAGTGGAAGAATTAGAACAACACGCACACAATGAATCAATCTTTGAATAACATTTTAACAAATATTTAATAACTTATTATGCTTGATAACCAATTTACTATGGCAGTAAAAATGTGCAAAATGGCTTTCATTCTGCAAAACTATATCCACATCAATCCTCATTTTCCTGCAGCTCTGAGAGATATTGCCACTAAATAAATCAAAAGTGATTAAAAGCAAAATTAATCCAAGCATATTCCAAAGTTACTACCAGACAGCAGAAAATTTACTATCGGAGAGCAGAAAATTTACTCATCTGAACCAGCATCCAAAATAGTGGCAGAAAGTTCTTCATATCTTCAATGACACAACTCTGAAACACATTCTTCTCTCCTGAGAACTTTAATCTCTAGCACAGTTCCTACTTTAGTGGTGAGATTAAATGTCCATTTAATTTAACAATTTTTTTCTCTGACAGCAATCAGAGCAATAACTAAACCAGTTTACTTGTGGCTGCACTAAGTGGGCCATGGCTGGTCTACAAAACTAAAACCTCACTCTAAAGTTTAAAAAAGTTGCAGATAAAAAAAAAACCACCCAGGTCTAACAGCAACAGGAAAGTCCAAGAAAACCGTATGCAACTCTGATTATGAATACCACCCATGCCAAGTCAGTATCCCATTCATGCTTTATTGACTTGGTAGGAGTAAATAATTCCTTTCTTATAGGTTTTTTGACCATACAGCTAAAAAGATAGCATAGGGGACAAAAAAGATAAAGCAAATAACAGCAAATTCCTACACAAACATAAGCAAATAAACTCAGAATGTAAGTATGCTGAATAAAAGGTTCACTGAGACATAGAACTATGTACAGTTACTTTGAACACAGTCACTCATCTTGCTTGACAATGAAAAAAATTTCTGGACTGCAAATTGACCCTGCTTTTAATACTGAGATTTCTGTTGCAGAGCACTGCACTAACAGGCCTGGGCCTCCATGGCCAAAAAGCTCTGGCCTACATTCATAAACACAACTACTAGACTTTCAGTCATGTCCAGCTTTTCCTTCACTGATTTTCCAGAACTAGAGAGGTCAATCATGGCAATCAAGCATAATCAGCTCTGACAGGTCATGGCTTGCTAATGTCAGTTCAAATTCTTCCTGGTCCCTACAGCCCACCTAGGCACCTCTGCACAGGAATGTCAATATTTCAAATCTGTGGAGAGCTTATGAAATTTATTCACATTTCAGCTGGGTGTATGCACTCAGTGGTACTTTGCACCAGAAAAGTCCTTCAAGGGTCTGCAGCACTGTGCAGTAACACACCAGCAAAAATCTAAAACTGGCTCTGCACCTGAATCAATAATATCTAATGGATCTGGGCTGCATTTGTACAGCACACTCCACATATAATCCAGGATTTCTCTACTGCAGATTATTCCACATAATGAAGAACTGAATTAACACAGAAGTGAGGACTTCAGTCATTCTCTAACTGTACATCAGAACACGAACTCAAAATATCTGATATGTAATCCAGGTGTTCCATACCAACATTAAAGGAATGCATCCATGCTAATTCCCCCAACACTTACCAAAAGAAAACTCTTTTCCTTGTTGCTTAGAATTTGGATTGGAGTCACTGGCATCAGAATTACTTTGTTCTTTCTGAGGACCTATGAAGAGACATTACATATATAATGCAGAGAACAGCAACAAGAAGAACAATGCATCAAACTTGATTACCATAGAAATCTTCAATTCTGAATCAAGAGTAGAACGAAAAAAAAAAAAAAAAAACCTTTAGGAATTCTAGAGTTGTATTTAAGCATTTAATGCTACTGACCACATCTGTGCTCTTTCTGCTCAGGACTACATCAGTTCCCACATCTCTGCTTGGAATAATGAGCCAAGCAAGCTGCCAAACTACAGCATTTTACCTAAGCATCATCTACACAGTATCCAGTTTGTTTCAGAAATTAAAAAGAAAGGTATTTTTACATTGAAGTGCAGCTGGAGCCTTCAATAGTTGGCTATGTGAGGTGTATGTTACTTATGAACTATGAAAGCTTAGAAAAACAGAAAATATAGAAGACTATAATAAAAGAACATCAGAAGAATATTTATTTCTTCTTCCTTACTGTCTTCAATAGTAACTTCAATCTCTGGGACACTTGAATTTTCTGAAGAACTTCGTGACCTTCTGGGACTCTCTGGACTAATTCCTGGAAAACAAAAGAACACAAGGTGTAAAGCATAAATTTGCACACCTAACAAAAGAACAGCTGAATTCTGAGAATTCTAACAGACTGAACTAAGTAGAGTCTGCATAGTAAAACCTGAACAATAAAGTGATGCTCACAATCTTGAGAAGTAGGTTTAGTGCTCTTGAAAAAGATACACTTAAGATTTTCCACTAATTCAGAACAAAAGACTATTTTTTCTAAGTGTGAAGGAGAGTTTTGGTACTTTTTATTATCTAAAACCCCCAAAATTACTAACATCTGAATTTTCTACAAAAGATTCTTTTATTCCCTTCTTATAAAACACCACTATTATTTACAGCAGTTCACAGCTCTTAGCTAAAAACATTTGAAGCCATTAAAAGTGAGAAAAAACTTGTCAAAATTGAATAAATTCCATTTTCAGTACTAGAATAGCCAAGTAAAAAAGCAGATATATTTATGGTTTGAGTGTCTTTCTCAAATAATAGCAGATTCAGAGATTACTATGCTAGATCATCTGAAATAATGACTTTTATTTACAACACCTGTATTTTTCAACCAGGAAAGATATCTCAGTCTGCTAGGGAAGCAGAAGAAACAAAGTATTTACAAATGGATGGCAGCAAATAATATTTAATTGTTTACCTTTCTTCTTTAGTTTACTAGCCAGTCTTAGAGGCAAATGGGACATGATAAGCTCAGGCCTAGAAGTTGAGCAGAACAAATCCAATCAATTGCAAGACAAGTCACACAGGAAAAAGCTACCAATTTCTTGGAATTCAATTGAGTTCCAATTCACATAACATCAGCCCTCTGTGAGGAAATTCTGTTAGAAGCATGGATGACTCTCCATCTACTATAACAACAAAAAATTAGAAAATATAAAGCTGTATTTTCTATTCTGCAATTTTCTTCTGGGTTTATTTCAAGCAAAAAAAAATACAGAAAAAAAAAAAAAAAAAAAAAAAAAAAAAGGAGCACAGCTTCCAGGTACAAGACCATTTTCCCCCCTCAATTCTTGATGCATGAAACACACAACATCTCAACATCTACAGAAATTGAATGAGAAGTGTATGTCCTTGTATGAGATAAAACATATGTGCAAAATATTCTTTGTGTTTCATGGAAGCAGAGTTTAGGTACCATTTAAAGCCTAGAGTTGCTGAGAATGAAGTCAAACAACTTCAAAATTAGAGGTAAAAATAAAATAACTAGATCACAAACTTACTTCTTAATAACAAATTTGATTTTGCTACTCCCACGGATGATTCTTTCAAGGCGTGGAATTCCAAACCATGTGGGACTCCTGAAGGGGACTCCTTCTGGCAAGCCTTCAACGACCAAGGACTCAGGGTTTGATTCAAACACAGAATAGGGAACTTTCACTGACTCTGAAACTGAAAGCCCCAGAGCTTTGGCTGCAAATGAAGATTAAATGATATATTACAAACTTAAATGGGTGGAATTTTATCTCAAGTGATTTTCAGAATCTTGTCTTACAGAAGCTCTGCTACTCAAAGCTAACAAGCCCCCTGGAAAAAAATAGAAATATTCAAATATATTTGGACAAATTCCTTATTATTTTCTGTGGAGTAACCACAAATGGGAACTTGGCCCATCTTGTTACAGATAATATCTAATATAGGCCTTCAGTGCCTAATGTTTTATTTTGAGAACTTTCTTTTCATCCAAAAGCTTTTGTGCAATCATCTTGTCACACACCTGGAAAAATTATGGCCTAGGATGCTGTTATAAAAACATTTATGTCAGTTATAGGAAGGAGTAAGTAAAACATAGGTAAGAGGATTTCCGTATCTGTCCTAGTATACTTCTGATGCTTAAGTACATACTGTAACATGTAAACAGAGAAGCTTTAAAATGCAGCAGCATTACAGAACAGTTCATTTAGCATTTAACTTACCAAACTTCTTACTAAATATATCTTCTACTTGCTTTCTTAGCTTTGTGATCTTGGAATTCCAATCTTCTCTCGCTGAAAATCAGAAATAGGTATCAGAGAATCACCCAGCTCTAGATACAGAGGTACATTTGAGCATACTTCTTTCAACATAAGAACATGAAAATCAATAATACAAATACATCTGATTAGACAGGGACACACAATGAGTAATGATTATTAATAGCAGCTTAAATGATACACGTAATTTCCTCTACATAATGAAAAATCTATTTAAATGTAGTTATGAATTTCAAACACTGACCCTAGCAGAACAACTTGTTCTTCAGAGCCCTCAGATGCAGGAAGAAACTATTTTAGTGGTTCTTACAAAACTGGAATTAATTAAGCATAGTGTATAATAACATTATTTAGAGTAGAACATGAGGATTTAAAGAATGCTTTGCTAAACATTTTGATTAGTATTTAAAAACCATCTTCAGTTCTATTCTCTATTGTAAATAAAAGCCAATTATAGGAGTGCTAGCCAGCACAGACAATTTAGAACTCAGACAGAGAAGAAAGAAAATGATGTCCAATAAAAACCACCTTTTTTTTCTAAGTAACAGCACTGTAGGGGTTTTGCATGGCCTGGTTTTTGGTAGCAGGGGGGTTACAGGGGCGGCTTCTGTGAGAAGCTGCCAGAAGCTTCTTCCATGCCTTGGTGGCTCCAAAGATGGACGAGCCACTGATCAAGGCTGGGCCAATTAGAAATGGTGGTAATGCCTCTGTGATAGAAGATTTAAGAACAAAAAAGTGGCACAGTGGTAGCTGCTGCCAGAGAAAAGCAGGGTGAGAACATGTGAGAAGAACAACTGTGCAGACACCAAGATCAGTGGAGAACAAGGGAGAGGAACTGCTCCAGGTACTGAGGCCAAGATTCCCCTGCAGCCCCTGGCGCAGCCCATGGAGAGGCAGCTGTGCCCTGCAGCCCTGGAGGGATGGGGGCACAGACCCACGTGCAGCCCTGGAGGAGCCCCAGCAGAGAAGGTGCATGCTGCCTTTTCTTGCTCCACAAGAAAAACAGCCTTTTCTATTTAACTACCCTCTTACTGAATATGAGTTTTTTCCTAAAATAAAAAAAAAAAAAAATCCACAATACATTGTGATGATGTAAGGTGACTACCGCTTGCAGGATTTTTAAATCATATCAAATCATATCCCTTCTTTTTTTTTCCTCCAGCAAGCTAAAAACATAGGAAGCCCTAAATATTGCCTTGTGTTCTTACTACATGCAGATTCAGCCTCCTAAAAAACCCAATGAGATCTGGATTGCACGTTCCTGTAGTAAGAAAGCACCAAGACACCTCAAAGAATTCAGATATATATCCCAAACTGATTCTTCTCCCTGTTAAAGGCTTTCAAGAAGTCCTTACAATTTCTTACCAACAGAGACCTGCAAGAGCTCAGGGTCACCAGTGAAATCCCAAGGGATACCAGACCTTTGATTCAGGCCAGGACAGTAACTCCAGCTCTCTGGGGCTCTGAAGGTGACCCAGCTTAGTTATTCAAAGGCAGCTTGGACTGCATCAGGATTTCACAATCCAGGAAGCCATCCACATTCACAGTGATCAGTTTATTCCTTCCAACCCTCATGAAGAGCATGTCAGCACACTCATCAAACATGGGTTACTTATTGAAAAATACTGCATTCATCTAGATGCATTTCCCCATCAAATCCTTCCATTCCCACTTGGAGACAGCACCTGTCTTACCTGTAGGGTTTGACCTGGGCTGAATAACTTCATTTGAAGAATGATTTAGCAGCTCTGGCCTGCAAACAGGACACAAATAATCCGCTTATTCTTGTTATAAATTAAATACCACTACCCATTATGACATGAATTGAAGAGTTTGAATTTTTCCATTATGTTTTTCACACATGTCAACATGCTAATAGATATGCAAAACATATTCTGAAATATTTGTCTGGATTGCAAATGCCCACTTTATGATGCAGAATATTCAATTTGCCTGTTTGACAACTAGAGTCCAAATGCTTAATGACTTAATGAAACCAAGTGCTTGATTATACAGAGAGTGTTTGTTTGGACTCTTTTTTATAAAAAGCTCCATATTTAGACTTACCTTCTGATCACAAATTTTATTCTGTCGCCCATTTGAATTATTTGTTCAAGGCAAGGGATTCCATACCGGGAGGGACTCTTAAATGAGATGTTGTCTGGCAGCCCTTCAACATAGAGGTCGGTCGGATGAGCTTCAAATTTCTTGTATGGAACAGCTTTGGGCTCATTGCTGCCCAAAGCCTTGCCTGGTGGAACAAAATACATTCAGTAACTGGACAGATTGGCCAATCATTAAAAGCTAGCTGGTACCAATTCCTCAGGCTGTAGCCTAATTTAAATTCATGTACAATTTAAAAACAATTGTGTTCTTAAAATGTGGAACAATGCAGGACATCTAAATCCAACAAAACACAAGTCTCTGCACATAAAAAATGTAAAAAATTTGCCATATTGTATGATGCTGCTGTTGGGCAGTCACAATACCAGACTGGACTGCTTACTGGGGCATAATACATTCGTTTTATCCAAAGTTGGCAATCTGTTATAGAGTATCATGAAAAAGTTTATTCTAGGTCTTACAAAGTTGACTGTTTTTTCATATTGGACAGAACATAAAAATTAACCCAAAAATGTTGTAATACTAATTATGATGATATTGCAGTGGATGTAAGTAAACTGATGTTTTATTCACCACCAAAGGGAAAAACCCAAACAGGAAGGAATCAAGAACAATCAGAAGAGCTGTATATGTAAGACCTAAAATTCTTTTTAAACTATGAATTTGCCTTGTATAAGCAGTAAACTACAACATTCTTTTTCACTGAACTTCCAGAATTTTAAATACTTGGAAAAACAATCTGAACAAAGGTCTCATTCACACAGACGTTCAAAGGAAGGAATGAAAGCAACCTTCAAGAAATATAAAGCCATTCAGAAAAGAAGATAATAATACTCTACTTACCATACAATTTACAGAAAAGTTGATCTACTGTCATTCTCAGTTTGGTGACTCTGGAATGCCAGTCCTCTTTCACTGTATATGAGACTGACACAGAACAAAACCAACATTCCTTAATTATATTAGTTACATTTTCAGTTGTTCAGTTTATACAATGCATAATCATCCTGCATTTTCAGGTAACACATAAATGCTTTGTGCAAGAAGTATGGATTCAATGTGAAACTAGAAAAAAAAATCATAAAATAATGATAGAATATTAAAACTGACAGAACTCCACTGAACCAGTGACATCACTCTTGCTACAAAATACACACAGTGTATTGGCCTGAAGAACTGCAATACTTTCATCATCCATCTCCAAACTGCAGATTCCACTCGGAGTTTTTCAATAGTTTCATTTCCTGAAGAATGTATTGATAGTCAGTGCAGAATCAGGTATGTGTATGGCATGAAAAATTTCTTTTAAAGGATCAAAGCATATATAATACAAATCCCTTTTTGCTCCTGAATATGCATGTCTTTGTGACCAACAAGTGAAGCTTCCCAGTCTCAGAGAAGCCATTGGCCAGCTGCCACAACATGGGTTTAGTCAGAGTGCAAAAGCAATGACTTGTGTTCCATACTTGCACCAGACTGGGCTATCAGCATAAGCACCAGCTGACATTTCTCCAGCCATTCCTGAGATCCAGCTGCTCTGTCCTGCAGCCAGTATCCATCTTCTCAGTGTCTCAGGACTGAGGCCATTCTACAAAACCCTCCTGGACCAGCTTGCTTCCCACAGAAATGCAAATGAAAATCAACTTTTCCTCTGCCAGCCAAAATACAAGTTCCATGCTCATCCCATTCCTTTCCTGCTGGGGACACAAGCTATCAGGGCCTATGGACAGAGCAGGAGTTGGACATGGAGCCACAAGGAGCTGAAAGAGCAGGGGCTCCATAGCTCTGTCGCCTGAGATGGCAGCAGACACAGGGAGCAGCAGAGGAGATAACAAGTTACTGGGAAAGGGGGAATCCAAACAGGAAGAAAACTGCAGGAAAGGAGGCTCAGACAGCTCCTGTCTCCTGCGTTCTCTGAGATGTTATTGACAGCTCCCAGGGATGCTCTCTTCTCTTATTAGAGACAATGCAGAGGTCACACGTATCTCTATCAAGTGATAGCAAGTGATGACAAGCCATATAAGCAACTGTTCAGAACCCTGTGCCATAGAAATTGGTTAACACTGGTTTTCTTAGCTACAGGGGTTTTATGAGTTGAGCAATGTACTTATTTTGCCTTCATAATCAATACAACTGTATCAAAAATTATTAAAACAACAGAAAAAAGGCTAAATTTAAAAGCCACATAAGAGTCTAGTTAAAACTCTGTTACTAGCCTACCTACTATTTTTGTAGTTAAATTTTGTGCTTGAAGGTACAGTAGATTATTAAGACTCAATACACTAAGTTAACTTGTACTTCAGGAAAAGCTTCCTGCACATACGTTAAATAGACATCTTTATGGTATGCCTGCTTTATTTAATTTAGATCCTTAATATTCACTTTAATACAGTCTTTGATATACTTTTTACAACAGAAGACTATGAGTATATGGGACAAATAGGAATATCACACTGTGCTTGTACCACTCACACATTTGCAAACCTACCTGTTGAAACTGTATTGGCCTCTGGAGCCTCTGTCGAATTCAGAAGTTCAGGCCTGAAAGATTTAAGGTGCATGTTTCACCAGTGACAGCAAACAGCTGAGAAACTAGCCTCCAGCTACAGCCTCAAGTTACTACTTACTGAAGGATCAAAACCAAAACACCTCCCAGGGGACATCATGATCCCCACCACTAAATTCAAAGTAACACTGAAGTATTCTATGAGCTGACTGGAACCCTACTGACAAAACATTTTTCATGCCCAATACCCATATCTGATGACTACGGGTATCTACCCATTTCATGGTGACAAACAGCTTCCGTTAAACTTACCTCTGAGTTGTGAGATACACTTAATCAGAAATAAAGATAAAAATTCAAAATTTAATCTCTAAAAGAGTAAAGTTTCCAAAATATATCTAATTTTATCCACAGTTGAACAAACAAAAAATTAAACAATTTGGTGTTTCTCATACAGCCAAACTAGATTTTCAGCTGCTCTGGTTACATATTTAAAAATCAATGAACACCAAAAATTCATTTCTGTAGACAACTAAGAGATATTTGACAAAAGTGAATGCCAGCATTGCATAAATAATTAGGTCTATGTATGATATCGGATATTAAATGAGACACAAGGTAGACCTACACTTCTTCCTTTTCTAGTTATTTGCAATAATTAGGATGATAGAAACTTACCATGTTCCTCTCAAATGTAAGCAACTAGCACCCCTGGTAAAGGCAGCATGCAAAGAGGCAGGGGCTGCCACTACCCCCAGTTCTGAGCCTGACCATTGCAATCAGCAGATTCCTATCCATTCCAAAAACTCTTGGACTAGGCCCACCACTGAACACAGGAAAACATCAGCTGTTACTCACTGAAGCTTCATTTAAACTTCAATCAGTCTCCCTCTGAGATCTCCTTCATGTACACTACCTGATCCACCTCCAGACACACCAAGGACACCTAAACCACAGGAACCAGCAGCTATGTGCTGTCCTCAAGCTTACCCTGGGAAATGCTTTATACAAATACAGCCATAGATACCTTGATACAACATTCCAGCAAATTTTTAAAAAAAGCATAAACTGAAATTAGGCCAAGAATCTCAAACAGGATCAAACATCCTAAAATCAATGGCTTTCAACATGTATTGAAGTTGCAGAGAGCTGACCAGTACAAACTGGTACTGGTCTGCCCCTGGCAAGAAGTCCATAATTTTGAAGAGATCTGCCCAGAGATCTCTCCACCACCACTCTGAGTGGTCCACTGGTCTGATAATCTAAATAAATCAAAGTGAACATAACTAAAAACTACTCCTTAGTACCATAAATTTATATGCCAGTAGAAACCAGTTTGGAATTCCGCGAAGAAAAATGAAGCAAAGTGGAATCAGCAGAAAACAATGAGCGATGTAGAGACAAAAATGTAACTGCTTACTTTTTAATGACAAACTGGATCCGGTCCTTTGCCAGCAGTATCCTCTCCAGCCGGGGAATGCCGTACGTGGCTGGGCGCCGGAAGGGAATCCCATCTGGCAGCCCTTCCACATATAAATCTTCTGGGTGTGAAAGGAAGTTTGTGTATGGAATAGACACTGGGCCCTTTGCTTTTATAGCTTCAGCTTTAATGAAAAAGGAGAATACAAACATTAGGCTAGCTTGTGGCTCTACTCAATTACCTGCTTGATATCACTCTGATGAACATTATAATTAACATACAGGCAATAACCCCTCAGCACATTTAAACATTCAAGCATTCATGTTGTGAGGAACTTTATTTAATAGCAAAATCACTTTGATTCACAGTAAACAAGCTGCAGGCCTGCAAACATATGCAGATTATCCTCTTACCACTTCATGTAAACATTTAATAACAGTGACCGCACCTGTTAGAGTGAAGATTCTCACCATTTCGGTTTTGCTTAATAGAGCATTTTGAAAGATGAAGTTACTTAGATTTTATAATAAACCAAGCATGTTTCAGTTCAGTATCTCTGTTACTATTTGTTACTCCTATTGGCTTACAAGTCATTAATGCCTTGGAGCAGGGGCAGACATCCCTGCTTTTCAGTGAATTCCTAAAGTTTCTGTGTATTTTAGAAATCCAAATAACCACTAATGAAATAAAAAATACACTTCTAACACTGTTGAAAAAAGCATGACCCTCCTAATGAAATCTTTGAAACAAATGAAAAGCAAGTAACTAGCAACTTGGGAGGGGGGGCATACCCCACCATTCCAGATTTCCCATTGTTGCCATGGACTTCCAGACATTTAGCAATTTTGTATTTAATGATTATTTACTCTTACTTTTTGCCCATTGCTGTTATTTTTTCACTTACACCTACTTAAGTTTAGTATTGCTGGAAAAGGATTGGTTAATAACATAATGGGATGCAATTCATTCCATGGTGTCTACCTCTTAAATTGTGTTAAACCAACTTAATTTTCTTCAACCAACTTTGCTATGTGCAAACATCAAAATCAAAATTAAAGCAATTCACTAAGACTACCTCTTAAATTGTGTTAAACCAACTTAATTTTCTTCAACCAATTTTGCTATATGCAAACATCAAAATCAAAATTAAAGCAATTCACTAAGAATTATGCCCCTTTCTAGAGAAATTAAAATACAGTCAATCAGATTCTGAGCTGTACTACCTTGGTGCAAGTTGTTTTCAGTGGGCTGTTTAAATGTCAGATAGTCACATCCCAAACATGTAGTAACTAGAAATCAAAAGGTCTATACTGAAAGTACTTCCACTTTTCATGGCAGAGGCACATCAGCATTTATTTTTACATCTTTGCTGATGCTGTTGTACTTTGTGATATGTGGACACAAAACATATCTAGGTGCAGCATTTGGAGACAAATTCCAAAGTCTAATACATATGCTGCTTTTTCTTTCCAAGACCAATTAGGATATATAATTTTGCTTCACTGTAAAACAATCATCATCAGAAATGAGCAACCAGTGAGTGGCAGCCTCTCTTCAGTGTCACTCTAAAGATTCTTTCGAAGTCTCAGTGTAATTGCAGAGGAAAGGACAGCTCTCTCAAATGTGGGTGCCCAAGATACATGAGCATGCAGGTGCTCCAGGAGACTGAGCACAACTAAAAAATAAATTCAAGTTTCACACTTTGGTGCCAAACACAGATATCCTATTTTGAAATTACTCTGCTCATCAAAAAAAACTACTTTACTCAATTTCATGTCTTCTAACAGTATTTAGCCCTTTGGTGCTGTCAGCTCTGGTGTGTTCCTGAAGCCAAGAACAAGATGCATGCCAAAGAGCAGTCTGTAACTTGCTGTGACAAAGGACTACAGGCAATAGCTTGGAAAGGTGTGTGACACAAACCATATTTCTTTTCAAACAGCTCTTCAACTTCGGTTCTCAAGTCTGTAATTCGCGAATTCCATCGGTCTGCAAAGAAAACAGGAGGCCATGTCAGACTACAAACAAAGCGGAGAACATCTTGTAAAATCTGTGTTACCACTAAATGAAATATGAACTGTGGACATTTACTTGCAAACAAGTGCCTGCTGAGTACAGTACAGACTACAGTTTAAAATGTATGGATGCATTATAAAAAAAAAAACCAGAAAAGCACAGAATAAAATGTTAAAGATTACTTCTGAAAGATGTATATTAAATGAAGTTCAAAGAAACACAAAAAAAACTAGGTTAAAGTAACTTCCAAAAATTATTTCTCTCTTTGATGGCTCAGTCATCAGCTCTTCCTGAGTCCAGGGATAAAGGCAGTTTATAGGTACTGTTGATAGTCATCTAGATTTGAGTGTTGAAAAGCTTGATAAAGCTTATACAAAGTAGATGAAGCTGTTTTGGTAGAAATCTGTACAACTACATGGATCCAGAAGCATCTACCATACTCTACTTTAATCCATTAGTTCTCCAAGTCCTGGTATTGCAAAATACTCACAGAAATCCTAGTTCTGAAAGAAAAAATAACTGTAAAAAGTAAGTTTATCCAAATCCAAACCTGTGCGTCCAATTACATTGTCATGTCAAATAACAAAATACAACAGCGGAAGCCTACAATGCTGATTATACTGCTGCAATTCACCTACACATAACCCAGGGCTCTTCATTGAAGGCTTGCACTAACATGTCTCACTCCTACAGTACAAAATGACCCAAAACCTTTTCATAAAACAAAGCAGTGAAATAAAATAATCTCGAATTTTAATCTTACCAAAATTGAACTGTGTTCCTTTGCTTCTCCCACTATCGCCTGAGCTGTTAGCTGACTTGGGGCTCCTCTGTCTCCTCTCATGGGGTAAATAGTCATCATCATTATCTTAAACAGACAAAAAGAAAATCACAGGGTTTTGGTACAGGAAACTTGTCTGCAGCACTGGAACTGCTTTGAATTTCAAAACTAAACCAGAAATAAGCAACTCTGCTTAGCAGGGCAACACATTTTGCAATAAATTA